GATTTCATGACCTGCTACATAAAACGCAAAATCTCTTTGTTTTTCTCCCAGAGCATATGGCAGTGGCAGAATGTAGGTCTCTGTTGGTCTCTGTGAAGGTGATGTTGTCTGGATCATTTCACCTGGATTAGACACCAGAAAATGCTCTTTTCACAAAACCGGTGTGTATGTTATGCACTGGGAAAAAATACTAGTAGTAATGTCAAACTGTGCTACAACTACTCCGCTTTGAATATTTTAACGTTTTGTAATGTTTTCGGAGCACTACACATGACTTGATTTAGAAGTCTTAGATTTCAGATTCATCCATCCAATGCTGAAAACAATGTCTGATGTTAAGGTATACAGATAGAAATTACACATCTTATCATGCCCTTTTAGTTATTTTTATTCACATGTTTATCTTTAAATAAACCTTGAAGTGTGTTGCAGTTAATGAAAATGTGCATGTATAGCTATAGAACTTTCCCATGAAGGGTGTTATAATAAGCAAATAAAAACACGATTTCTGAACCAAGTCGTCTACAAAGAGTTTTCCTTTGAGAAAACACTCTACTGCTGCCAATCTCCGCCAGATGAGACATGATAATTAAGTGAAGTAAAGCTGTGAAGTTGTTTTTGTCAGGAACTACAATAAAGGGAAGTATTCCTTTGAGACCACATATGGGTTTGGATATAAGACAGATGCAGCATACCTACAAATATACAGTGTTCTGAAACATTGAAAGTGAAAGCACTTTCAGATGATTACAAGCTCACTTATACATTATATAACAACACTTCCTGGTATGTCTTGGTATATGAGATCCACTAATGTCACAAGACTGCAATTTTCAGTGCACTCGAGACAATTTGCGGTAAGATGTTGATACAATATAAGTAAAAATGTGGTCTCATGGGGATCAGGCCTATCACAAGCTCCAGACTGGTGCAACACACATGATGACCTTTTTGATAACAACAACAGTGCTATTTATATCATCATCAGGTGTTTAGGAATTAATAAAACCAATATTTATTTATCACTATTGATTGCAGACCTCATATTTCTATTAAACAACATTTATATGCAGGCATAACTGGTACCTACAAAAAAAAAGACTTCAACTCTCCAGCAAACCTAACTCATTTCCAACAGGCTGAAAAATGTGATTGCTAACTGCCTGTCTACACACTTAGCAATATTGTTAGCTTTTACAAAGTCCTAACACATTTCATGTCACAGTAAAAACTATAGAATTAAAACCACATGCTTGCTGGGCTACATTGACCATTTATTGTATGACTGCCATTAGCAAGTATGTGAATTTCTAATGATAATTGGTCAGCCCTAGTAGTATATATACTTAATAGTCTCCTGAGCTGTCACCACCATAATAAAATACAGTAAAACTGCATTGTCATGTCATCTCAATTTTATAGAAAACATCATTGAAGTTTGGCAATTAGTTTGAAAGACACAGTGTCAGACTGACTAACTTCAAAAAGCACTACAACTGTTAAATCAAAGATGATTCAGATTACTTTTTTTTATCTCAAGCTCTCTAGTGATCGTTCAGCCTTACGCCATTGCAGATATTGACCATAATATTCATGCTGGAGGAAAAAGGAAGAAATGACAAATGGTGCCTCTACTTCAGGCCTATTCAACTGGCGGCCCGCGGGCCGGATGCGGCCCAGAACCAACTCCCGAGTGGTCCAGCCTCCCGTAGCCAAATTCCTACACTAGTACAGACCATGAACGCAACACTCCGCCTTGCATAGAAACCACCAAACCACAACGCAGCACGTTTTTTGAAAGTGCATCTAGTGGTGCTAGTAACGGTGGTCCAATGATAGCAACTCTAAAACATGTCTCTCTCAACTCTGAAGCGGAAACAGAGAAAAAACGGTCATTGATCTTGTGGAGCAGATCCAAGTCAAGCTGGACCTTTTCGCGACCGACTTGAGCACGGGTCGGATGCTGCATTTTCCGACACTCCCCAAACACATCACATCTCCGGCACAAATCACGGATGTGATGACAGATTTCATTGCGAGGTTGAAAGAGAACTTTGCCGGTCGATTGGATGGACTTGCTCTGCCCACAGAGGTGATGGGCTTTGCCAGAGACCCCTTCACTGTTGCAATAGAGGGAGACGTATCAACCAGAGCAAAGGAAGTGGTCCCCTGCATCGACAAGGGGAAATATACACTGGAACTTATTGACATGCAGCGCACTAACGGGCCAGCGAAGTTTTGGAGTGATGTCAAAAAACAGCAGTTCCCTAACGTTCAGAAACTAGCGATCTGTGTGCCCAGTATTTTTGGATCAACATACACATGTGAATCAAGCTTTTCACACATGAACTCAATCAAAAGTAGCACTCGCTGCTCCCTGACTGACAGTACTCTTCACCAATGTCACGATTGCATTGACATCCTATTCCTATGAGCCAAAAATCACTGCTCTTGTTCAAAACAAAAAAATGTCCCTTCTCCCATTGAGAAAGTCAGCGATGACAAATCACAAATGAGGTGATAGTAAGCACCTAGTTTACTATAGTAGACGTGTAGTGTAGTATTCATTCATATGTTAGTTACCTGTATCCCTTGTTATGGGTTTGTGCACTGAAGGGTTTGACAGTTCTTCCTGTATTCATTTAAATGCACTTTGTAATGTGTCTGGGTCAAATGTGACCAAAACGTATGATTTTTTTGTTATTACTTGAAAAGTGAAAAAATAGTATTGCTACAGTACTACCTCTTTGTGTTGCATTGGAGCTCTTTAGCTGTTTTCTTTGTATGTGAGAACATTTATTAAGACTGCTATTATTGTATTCAGTAAATGCACTTTGTGATGTGCCTGGTTAAAAAACAAAAACCTGAATATTTGACTTCTAAAGCAAACACATGTAATGCTACAACTGTGCACTTTTTTCAGATTCTGTTAAATGAATGCTAATTTGTTGTGTTTTTATGCACTTTTTGACGTACCTTTGTTAGATGAACAATGAATAAAAATTGCATGTTTTTCATCGCAGTAATATGTGTTGGTTTAAAATGTGTCACTACCCGCTTTTTACAGCCCGCTGAATATCTGGCCCAGCTGAATTTTGTAGTTATAAAATCTGGCCCAACTGAATGTGTAATTGAATAGCCCTGCTCTACTTCCTTGTTCTGTCCATTCATTCCCGAACAACAGATCCCACAAAAAATCATTGACGTCTTTTTTTTAATTTGATTTTTAGAATGATTTTCTGAGTTATCAACAGACCTAAATTCATTGCCACAGCTTTTATAAAGTAAATACAGCACTCACGAAACCCTTTGCGCTGCCTGCCTCCTTTTATGTGCCTACTCCATAAACTGATACAGTGTCTGAAATCACTCCAGAACATCCGTTTAATTTCCCTTTAAGGGTTCTATTTAACAATTCATTCATTTTCCTTTCAATTTACCATCTTTCCGTTCCCTCTCCCAAGAGAGAAATACATGTATTGCAACAAGCATTTATAATGTCATTACAGACTGCATTCAATCCTAATCCATGAAACATTTTTTTATTTATTTCATCCATATGTAGTAAGTAATACATTTATGACTTTAGACATTTGTGTGCTCATTCGTGTTTAGGTTAAGGTAAATATTTTTCCCTTTTTGCTCCTTTTTATGTGTTAGGGTATTTTTGCTTTAATGCTGTTATGGTCATTTGTCTAAATCATCTCACCTTCATATGAACTGAAACCATCAGGGAGCTTGTAATTGAACTGCAACCTGATGATGCAGAACACCATCCATACAAACTCCCTGTAGATTTGATTTGATATAGAGTTCATTGTTTTATTCCGTTGTACTATATATACAAATCGATTCCTGAGGACTAACGCAATTAATGTGCAACCCTTAAGTCACCTGATTACCCTTTAAACTAACTGAACCCCTTGCAAATTCAAACAGACAGCATTTATAAGTGCACACTTGTTGTGACAGCTACATTCAGCAAACAGAGACAGACCTGTGACACATATATAAATCATGTTAAGTTGGCAGTAAACTCAGATTTGTTTTTGACAACAGTCAGGTCTTTATTGATCATGCAGCAGTGGTTCCATTGGACACAACATACACAAGCAAAAAAAAGAATAAGCGGCATAGAAACACTTAATGCACCTAAAACATCCAGAATCAATAAAATAAGCTTAAAAACGATTCAAAGTGAAGTATAATATCGCAGGGATGGGACCTGAAGTCCTTTTTACAGCAGTGAATTGAGCATGTCATCGCAATTTCTGGCATGAGTGATTGGGAGAACGCTATCACACACATCATAAACTAAAGTCTTTACAGTGAAACCTATTATGTAGGAACAGCTGGCTAGAAATTCATTTTGCAGTTCACAGCTGGTTTTGTATTTGTTTCAACTGCTGTCACACTTCACAAGACAGTATTGACACATTTGCATATAGTGTTTGATGGTGAAGAGGAAGTTGCATTGCTTTGACATTTAAGAACCTAGTAACAGCTGGCTCTATCCACAGTGGGTGTCATTACACATTCAAAGCATACATTTACCATTATAAGAATATGCCTGTGCTCTCTTGATTACATTGTTAGTGTTCCTCCATTGCAACAATAAACCACAAGTAGTGCAACATCTAAGGACGTGTTCATGCAATCGGTATAATAGATCTTCTTGAGACACACTAAAACAAGTATTGCCAAGATGTTGAAAAACAGGTGCAGGAGTGCAGGAGATGCTGTTATTTCTGAAGCTGTCCACCAGATGGGTGGAAGGGAGCACCATGTGTGAGCAGACCCACACAGCTAGATGTAGGATGTGAGGAAGAATGAGGAGGAAGTCATGCTCACAGGAAAAAAGAGTTAACAACAGTTTGACATTACACTGGGTTCACATTTGGGTGCTTGGATGGGGTCGGACACCTGATGTGTGTGTGTGTGTGTGTGTGTGTGTGTGTGTGTGTGTGTGTGTGTGTGTGTGTGTGTGTGTGTGTGTGTGTGTGTGTGTGTGTGTGTGTGTGTGAGTGCCAGATTGTGAGCCCATGAATTTTTGAATGACTTGGTTGATTGTAAATCACATTCTAAGGTTAATTGAAGTATCATGTGCTTCTTCTCTGCGACCATTGACTCAAGGAAAACTGATACAAATCATAATGGTCTAATACGAGTGTGTCATCATTGTACCAAAAAGTACAACGGTATTCATTCATGTCAGTGTGCTCACACTCTCAGTCACACACACACACACACACACACACACACACACACACACACACACACACACACACACACACACACACACACACACACACACACACAAGAGGTGAAACCTCAGAACAACCACTTTAACCAAGGCTGGTGATATTGGAGCGACCACCAGGGGGTGCTACAATGCGTTGGCCAGACCTACGAGGGAGGATGTCATCAATCTGAGACCCTGGAAAACAAAGACAAAATTACGTTAGATGTGTTTGCTTCAGTAAATAAATCTATTCATTTTGGAACTTAAAAATTAAGGCTCACATATTGCTCCATTTAAAATATTAAAAGCATCATAGGTATGCCTACAGGTACTGGATTGGATTAAAATAAATAGTATAAAATATAAAAAGTTTGTTACCTGATAGGCTGAAGTTGGACTGGTGGAGATTGCGTATTGGTGGTGGTTGGTGAGAAGTGGGTGAAGTTCTGGCTGAAGGAGAAGGAGTAATATATGTTTGGGTTGGAACCATATCATATACGGGGCCATCGTACAACCCACGAATAACGCCCTGCTGATTCTTTGCCTAGAAAAACCCACAGACAAACACATGTTAGCTGACATGTTAGTCACTCTTAAAAAAAAAAAAAAGCCTGTACAGTCACATTGCCAATTAGTATTTTATTTGTATTTATTTGATATGTATTGTTTAAAGTCATATTGAAGAAAAAAATGATAGTGCAACTATAATGACCTGATGTTGACCATCCATTCAATCTTTTACTGGAAAACCTTTTAACCTTTTGAAGAATTGCTTTAATATGATGTATGTACCACACCTGGTTCCTGACTTTAATGCGCTGGTAAACGTAGTCTGGGAAGTGCTTGCGGGGAATAAATCGACCGGTGCCTTGCTGGGCCTGCACCTTGCCTTCCTCATAAACAACTCGTCCGTGACTCAACACCAGCGCTGGACCCCCACGGCACTCCATACCCTCAAAGATGTTGTATTCTGAAGTCTGTGTGGAGAGCAATAGACATACTGTAAGCATCACGATAAAATTGGAAAAGAACAGATGAACAAGGGAGAGCTTTTCATTTCCTCCTCAGTACATTGATACTCTGCACTGTCTCGGCCCCATGGGCTATTTTTGCAATCATTATTACAGGAGGCTTACTATATGCCATGAAATGCAGCAGTGGAGAAGATTGAGGATGAATAAGTGAAAGGCTTGGGAATATACAGTAGGAGGAGCGACTAAAGGGGGATGGGTAGAGAGATGCTAGCTCAAAATGGGTGAGGGGTGAAGGGGGATTATAACCTAAAGCCGGCACCAGTCTGGATTAGGGCTTTTGACAGTGGCAGAGCAGACTGAATATTAAACACTGTCTAACATTGTCACTGTATGTTGTCCCATTGCTCAAGGCAAATGTCCACCTCAAAGACCATGTTTCTAAGTTAAGTTGCATCGTTTTGTTGTAAATTAAAAAAAAGCAAAGGCTCGGTTCACCTAAATTGCAAATACACGACAACAATGTATTTATTTAGCTTTAAAGCCATCTGTGCATGCAGATACCTTACACCTTCACTCAGCCTCACTGTTAAGAGATTTCCCTGGTTATACTGCCTATTGAAGACATTTCAAACCATTGTTAAAATGATCAAATGTTTTTTGTGTTTTTAGGGAAACCAACACTTTTGAACCCAATTAGAATTTAAGCTTTCCTTAAACATGCTAGCTATGCTTTTTGATCAGGGGTTTTGTATCCAATGCATGTATTGTATTATTCTGATACGACATCATACTGCACAGTAATGTCAGGCTTGACTGAATTTTATATTCCAACTTCACCTCCTGTGATCCGTGCCTTGGTTTTCATCCTATTTCACACTCTGCCATCCCCCATACAGAGTGAACCCCTCTCTCCTGCAGCCTTTCTCCTGCCTTTGTCCTTCAAGTCCTTCTGCTCCCTAAACTGATGCAATATTTAGAGTGGTATTTTTGTAATAAGATCACAAACCATCCATTGCATTATTCTGTTATCCCTTGCATTCAATTCAACAATTTATCCTTTCTCTTTTAACTAATGTCCTTATCCTGTTATTGTTATTGCTCTCACCGACTGCTGGAGTTTTGTAGTGATTGTTTTGGTACTGTTTGGATCCCAGATGACAATATCTGCGTCAGAGCCCACCGCTATCCGCCCTTTGCGAGGGTACAGGTTGAAGATTTTTGCAGCGTTGGTAGATGTGGCTGCCACAAACTGGTTTTCATCCATTTTTCCCATGGCCTTAAAGAGAGAGAGAAGTAAATGTTTAGAGTTTGACGCACGCACGCACGCACGCGCGCACACACACACACACACACACACACACACACACACACACACACACACACACACACACACACACACACTTCCTCATCGCTCACCACGGCCTTGTCCCAGACGAAACCCATTCTCTCCTCCACTCCGTTTGTCCCCTCTGGGATCAGAGTGAAGTCATCTTTACCGATTGCCTTCTGGGAAGTGCTGTACGCACAGTGAGCACTGCCCACCACCTGCAGGTCCCCACTGAATCAAAGCAGAGAAATAATATGAAATGATCACATGTCAACTCAATACACAGTCAGTTCAACAGAACCTTGACCACTTAAACAAATGTTAATCTGTCAAATTGTATAGTTTTTACTGCAGAACTTTGTCTTGAAGTTTTAAAGGCAGCTCAATCATCGGGATAAGGTGGTCAGTTAACATGGATTTGGCTGCAACAATCTGTTAAAAGCAATATTTACATTCAAATAATCATAATGAACATGAATGCTATTTTTATGCTCATTAAGTTGGTGAGTTTAAGAATAATTCATGTAGTGACAGAATAGCCAGGCAGCTGAACCAGTCCACAGAGCCTTAAGCAGATCACATCGTAAATATACTGTTATATTTAAAAAAAAATACCTCTATTACCTTTCCCCCTTAAATACAAGACGCTAAATTTGACTGTTTATAAGGTATGATTTGGGTAATTTCTCATCCAGGGCCTTCTAGTCATTTGTTAATTACAGTGATTACTTCATCATCCTGATCTGAGGGATCATTATGACCATGAGAGTGCTTGTTATGGAAATAATGGGCCATACTGAAATATGGAAAAGAGTTGTTCTTTTGTTCGCCTTTCAGAAAAGAAAACTCAAAGTACACCCTGTCACTTCAGACGCTTAAACACACAGCAGTATAGCAGCACTGGTGTGACAGCACAGACCCGCCTAGAGAAGCTGGGGTTGCAGAGGAAGGGTGGAGAAGCAGAGGAAAGGAAGGAGGAAAAGTTAAGAGGATGAGGAGGAAGGCAGTTGGTAGCCAAGGCAACAGATGATGAAGGATTCTAGTTGCTGTGCTATTTATGGAATCAAGGACAGTCAAAAGTGTACAGCGGGATGTTCTGTGCATATATGAGAGAACCGGGGTGGGTTTGGTCTGGGGCACTTTATCACTCTATAATACACATCAATTGCAATGGGAAAATGGCTTTATGTAGTGATAGAACTATACATATATTATTATACTCACTACATTAATGTATACATGTAATACTAAAAACTGCACTACAGTTAAAGTGGCTTGCAAACCATTATTAAGTCAATTATCCCTTATAAGTCTCTTCTACCGTTATCATACTGCTCCTCCTCTCCTCACACATACACCTCCACCTTCTCCCTCCTCTACATCTGTTTTTCTTTCTCACTGAAGCTGGCTTGACATTAAGCATTACACTAGCAGTTGTCCTTGACAGGAACATTACACTAATATCTGAGGCAAACAGCAAGACGTGGACCCTTTTGGCAACTTATTTAATAATTATTATTTCACTTTTAGAGGTTGACAGTAATTTAAACTATTGCCCTCGCTCTGCATTGAAATAAAAGTGTTTATTAGTCACGGTTTTGAAACATGAAATATACGCAGGGGACATACAGTATTTCAACAGGCTTAACAGAGCATTACCATTACTCAGAGTCAACCCCTGGGTTATTGCATTTAAAGTTGTCTGAAAAGGTTTAAGATATACCAAGCCAGCAGTGTGTTGAGGTGGTCTGGGGTTGTGGGGTCAGGACTTAAAGGTGGAGATGTCACATAAGCAGCCGCTTTGGCCCAGTTCTTGCTCCAATAGTGAGAGCCATCAGTGACCAGACTGGCTGTAATTGGCTCCCCAAAAACGACATAACCTGGATGGGAAGAAAGAGACAGTGTGTCTGTCAGGATGTTCAATCAGGATGTATAAACACTGGAAAGAGTCCTTAAAATCAATTCAGACACATTGACTGAAATGGAAAGAAAGAGAGGCTGACCTTTCCTACGGGCCTGGGCAATAGTGTCAGCTGCACTCTTGCTCATCACCTTGGTGATGTAGATAGGACAGTTCACACGGTTACCAAGAGTGATGGCACGGAACACCGCCTCAGCCTCCAGCTGCATGTAAAGAAGTAAAGAAACATCAAAACCTATAAATGGATGGATGGATGGATGGGTGGATGGATGGACGGACGGATGAGGGGAATAGGAGAGGGATATCACCTCTTCAGGACGACTCAGCGGATGGCCTTCGGGTCCGGTGATTCCCATTCCGAGGATTTTCTTCTGTTCCTAAAACACAATTGAATAAGATTTAATTATGAGTATTTTCCTCCCCACTGCAATAACTCTCAGCATGACATATAGTACTTGTCAAATCATGTTTTACCCACAACAACGCCTTTGCTGGTCTCCAATGGCTTTTAAAATGAAAATATCATGGTCTGTCATGCTATCAAAGGGTGCATTGTAATCCTAGGATGCCAATTTCACTGTTGGGAGCTTGCACCTGTTATGCTTCTGACAGCGCTGTCTGGAAAACAGCAAAATTGGAAAGAAAACCAAACCTCCACCCCCTTACTGCTTGTCTTTTTCAATATGTTTTGGCTTCACTGCTTGCTCACAAGAAGGTTGGTGCTTCTTAAAGGTTTTTCATCACCCATCTCCCTGTTTTCATTACAATTATGTTAACGAGTATGTTATCATTTATCATCGGAACTCCTATCATCAGTCATTACCCTCTTTAATCTTTAAATACATTATAGTTTCAACTTTAGGAGTCCCTTTAATTCAGACCATCATCTACATGATCATGACCACCACTTTAATCACTGCTGTCAGTACTATCAGGACCTTAGCTTTCAATTATCTTCAATCTTGATAACCATTACATCATCATCATTAGTATAATGACGTTCAAACGCGGTGGTGCCCTTTATAACATTCAGCGGCTGCACCAGCAATAATCCTAAGAGACAAAACTAGAGGAGGTAATGAGGCACTTACTTTAGCAATCAGGTCTCCATTTTCAGCATGAACTAAAACCACGGCACCCAGCTGCTTCAGGAAGGAGAACGCCTCATACAGCTGTGGGAGAGTCCAAAGAACAAGCAAGCCATTAATACTCAATGGATACAGATATTTCTCATTAATGCAATATTAGTGATAATTGTAATCTGTGATTATGAACATACCTCAGAGTCTGTCATCTGATATGTATCCTTATAGGCCATGTACACTTGGAAGGAGTTGATACCTGGCAGTGGAAACAATGAATGTATTCATGACAAGAAGGTAATAAAGTAAAAATTAGCAAGAAGGATAAAAAAGAAAAATGTTTGAGCGTAGAAACATTTAGTATCATGATATGCACTAAATAGAATAGAGATAAATGTGAAATGTTAAATGTCAAGTTGCAAAAGTAGAGAAACTGATCCACAACCTAGTCTGAAGTACAAATAATCGAAGCTGTAAATTACAACCTTCAACTTTATTGCAGAAGGGGATCCCCCACACAGGCAGCTGCCTTGGCCAAGTTACTGCCTTATTCTGTGGCGGCCCCATAAGAAAAGTGATTTGTTACTTAAAACAGATTACAAGAAGAATTTACACACTACCACCATGACAGCACTGCAGAGAACAATGGATTACTACTGCGCCTCCGCTATAAGAGGATTCAGCACTAGGCCAAATTGTTTCTAAATCTCTCCCTGTTGTTCAAGTGAAATGGGTCCAAAATAGGGATGAACATGACACAAGAATTACAGCATTGACCACAGCTATAAAACAGCATGCAGTCATTAAAAACGTATGTACCTTTCTCTTGCACCAGCAGCTCCAACTCATCTTTAACATTCTCATCCCACTGGGGGATGTCTACGTGCAGGGAGTAATCGCAACATGCCTTTTTATCCGCAGCCTCCTGCCAGCACTCAAACGCCTGCAGTAGACTCTCTCCGGGCTCCGGGGTTACATGGTCAACTGAAAGAAAAAAAGAGTCATAGGTTAAGATGTGAAGAGCGTACCTAATGTATTTCATCACTTGAAAGATAATGTTGTAACAGTATTCACTGTGACTGTATTATGTGTCTAAGCATCCACACTCACTGATCATGGTGGTGCCCCCAGCGAGTGCAGCCTTGGTGCCTTGGAGGAAATCATCAGCAGGCGGTCTTCCCAGGTATGGCTTCATCAGACAGGTGTTGGCATCTATCCCCCCCGGTATCACCATTCGGCCATTAGCCTCTATCACCTTGACACCCCCAGGTACAACCAGATTCTCCCCCACCTGCCTGCCAAGGACCAGACACATGAGACACAGGGGTGATTTTGGGTGAAATGGGTAGGTTGTGGAGGTGAAAAGGGAAATAAGAAAGTGAAATCATTATTGACTGCAAGATATTTATATATTCTGTAAAAATCACTATTTGTATGCCTCCTTATTTACATAGCTCTTTATACTCACTTGATAAGTCCATTCTCAATGTAGACATCTGCGTAGAGAGACTGGTCATCATTGACCACCCGCCCTCCTTTGATCAACAGCCTTTCACTCTACAGGGGGAGAAGTACAGAGGGAGGGAAGGAGGGAGGGCGGGGAAGGTATGGTTTAAATCAATCCTGACATTTTTATATATTGCACAATCTGTTGTGTAATCATTGACTTTACAGCAATATAATGGATGGGGTGTAAATAAATACATAGCCACATAAGTGGGCGGTTTCTCATTATAGCTATCAGGGCTGTCTGCCTTCATCCTTCATTTACTTTTATTCTGTGCAGGATGAGGTTTGACTGCTTATTTAGAGGCACAGTGTAAAACTAGCACATTTTTACCCAGACTTCCATGCGTCCACTCACTCTACCACCATGAAGGCTGCCTGCCTTGCAACCACTTTAGGAGGATGTTACATCTCCATGGTAACCAATGATCCTATGGCTCAGTTGATAGCTGCTGACAGCTCGCTGAAGTTTTCCAAAAATGATTATGCTTACAAAAGGACTCATTTGAATGCTGTGTATGATGTGTTGTTTCCTGTCTTCCCCATGAAACTGAATGCTTAGTCAGTTGCATGCCTTTGGATTTATTTGGTGTTTTATAATAGGCCTATGGAGAGGTTTAGAGGAGACTTTCTGCAGAATGCATGCTTTATTGTAGCTCAAAAGAATGCATCTTTGCACAAATCCAGTCTCAAACCTTTATGTTGTTTAACGCTAGTCATTTTTTCCTGCATGTGTGATCTGGATAGACCGTCACGTCAACCGAGTTAATCCCTCTGACAGGCGTCGAGATTACACAACAATGTACAACCGTAAGAGAATACGTGCTCGATTAGACACAGACATCCAGTAGAGAACTGTCACCTCGCTGTCTAGAGTTGGCTGTCTCACACTGGAGAGAGAGTAGAGAAAGTCCTTCGGTTTTTCTCGCCTCACTAAGAATGTAATCCCTTCTTTGCCGGCATTGGGAGCAGGGATTTACAAGTGGAGAGCTTCTCCGGCCAACACACCGGCCAGGCCGGGTCTCTTACCTTCAGATGGTGGATGCCGTTATTCTCATGGTAACTGGACCCAGACATGCCTTCCCCGTCGCTCTGCCCTCTGGCAGTCTATTTAGTAGCGGGTTGCAATGACTCAGACGCCCTGTCCTACGATCTCCGCCCCTTTATCTAACCGAATGTGTGTTGGTTTTAGTTTCCGTGTGTGTAAAGGGACAGTGGTGAATCCGCCGGCGTACGGCTGCGTCAGGACGCGAGGAGCACGCTCAGTGACAGGACAGGTGACCTTTCGGTGCATGCGCGAATGAGGAAACGCGCTAACATAAACAGCTCAAGTGAGAGCAGAACAACAGGATTGCGAGGAACGCTGTCTGGCGCTGTCCAGTTCAGCACCACACACTGAGGGGAGTTTCATTGTATCGAAAAATGTTTTGCATCTTTTTGTATATTTTTCATGAGCCATGTAGACGTAAACTAAAATGGCCAAACTGCAATGCAGCACAAACTTCATTAGTTATGCAAACTCGGGCATTTATCTCAAAATCACAATTCCCATGGGTTGTTAAAATATGTTATAATAAGTAAAAATATGAAGGTGATAGTTTTGCAACACAACACATTTTGCCTTTTAAAAACAAGACATTCAAATATATGCATCCAGTCGTTAAAACTACACTCCATTGTTCTTTCTTTGAATAGTCCTGTCTCCATCAGCTGTAATAAACAGTATAGGCGAGTTTTCTTACTGCACTTAATGAAAATCATATTTAACGTGAACCATGTTCATGCATAAGACAACGAGCACTGTTTCCACCAAAAAGCCAGACAGACGAAAGAAAAAGCCAAGGGGCATAATCCTCAATCCTACCTCCCCATTTGGGCTTTCCTTCCCCGATGAATATCTGACCTCCACACCTGCTTGTTGATCGTCCGTTTCGCCGGGAGAGTTGGTCAGTGACCCCTCCCGTGCCTCGCTGGACGTCTTGCCAACGGGATCACCAGCATCCAAAACCCTCTCTCGGCTCCCGCTTCTCGGGGTGCGGCTGCCTTTCCTCCCAACCGCGTAGTTATCGAAGTCTATAGTCTTGCTTTCAAACGCTCCCTCCACGGAGCTGAACATTCCGTAGGTTTTCCTTTGGTTCGACCCGGTGGTGATCGGCCCAGCCAGGTAGACCGGCAGCTCATCCTCCCGGTTCCACTGCCTCCTGCAGTCAGACATTGTTGCTTTCACGGCAGAGTCTCCCCCAAATGTGAAACGATTGAGACAGAAGCGTAGCTTGCTGTACCTCTAACTGGGTCACGGAGAGCCCCGCCTCTGAAGCATGCTCTGATGCTGTGAAGTGTGAAAAAGCAGCGCTCTACAGGCTGATGATGAAAATGGACAAACACAAACAAGTGATATCAGGCCTCCAGATTAGAGAGTGGTGGTATGCAGTAGTGAAAAAGGTATTCAGATCTTAACCTGTGAAACAGTAGCAGCAACACAATATATTCTGTTAAAAGTAAAAGTATTCCATTCGATATCATACTCAATTAAAAGTACATAAGTAATCAAAATATTCCTAAAGTACGAAAAATAAAAGTACTCATTACACAGAATGGCCCATTTTAGAATAATTTGTATAACTTTTTTCATTACTTGAAAGCACCTACCAAAGCTGTTTATTTTTGCTCTATACACTGCCGGGTAATGTTCAATATCTTGTCATGATGTATTAATTGAGTTATATTTTGCAACCAAAACCTGAATCTGTAAAAGCTGTAAAGTGACTAAAGCTGTAAAATAAAGTACAGCATTAGAAAGTACAATATGCGAATTGTAGAAAGTAAATGGAAATGCTCAAGCAAAAGTATACCTCAAAAGTGTGCAATGCTACTTTAAAACACTGGTGGGGTGTCAGTGTTGTATAGTTTAGTTAGCACTGATTTGAAAGAAAAGTGACCGCAATTAAACATGCAGACAAATATAAGAAGTGTATGTCGCTCCACGCCTCTTTCCTGCCTTCCAATGTAAGGGATGTGCGTAAGTAGATCACACTATCAGTGGATTAAACCAGCATGTGTCATCCTTTAACCCACATCTGGAGGGAGAGATGGATTTTAAATATGTCTGTGTGCTTTCAGGAGGACAGTCGGTCAACGTTATGAATAAAGCCTCGAGGTGTAGAACAATTACAATCTTTCCATGACTTCTCAGACTCCACCGCAAGGGCTGGTCAAATGCATCTTGATAGACAGGTAAAAAGCCCCGGGGCTGGTGCTTTTATTTGCAATGGGCTGTAATCAGTGACCTATATGCTAGTGGGATGTTTCCTAATCCCCATAATTCATGAATTATGAAAACCTCAGTCAGGATTTTTTTACCAAGTTTTTTTATTGCCCTTGGGGCATGAAAAACAAGATTCTAATTTTAGTTTCTTTTTATCTCGTTTTTTCCAATTTAGAAAAAAAATGTTTTATATGTCCACTCAGGTGGACAGTATGCGTTAAAGTTTGAACTGAAGACATATACCTTTGGAAAAAATGATAAATGAAGATGTGCAAACTTAAAATTACATTATATTAACATAAGTATATTGATTTACGGCCCAAAAAGGTATTGCAAATGAAGTATTTTCAAGAACAACAGTTGCAGTAACAGTATGAATTGTAGTTGAAATATAGCCAGTGATGCATGACGTCCACTTTAGTGGACAGGTGATTCATCATCATTTCCTGCAAACATAAAATCAATACTTTGACAATTTATGAATTATATAATTCCTTAGTTGATGTCACCAACATTGTTATACCTGCAGGGGGCGCTTTCCATAAAATAATTGGCAAGATATCGACGAGTGATTCGGTCCATCTGGCTTTCTGTCGTCCATCTTGGTTTAGAGAAATGTATCATGCACTTACACTGACTTTCCACTGACTGGCAGTATATGACATGATGCAATAGGGTCCTATGTAGTGGCTTATGGTGCAACCATGCCATCAAAACACATGCATATACAAGAGAAAACACCTTTTGAAAAGCTGTCCACTATAGCCTCTACGTGTGAAAGGGTTAATTACCATTTGTGTTAAACAAATATAATATGACAACAATATAATAAAACATTATCACTTTTTTCACCTGTAACGTGTTGTTGTATAAGGCCTCTGAAGTAGAAGTTAACGTTTAAAAAAATAAAAAATAATCTAATATGGCCCTAGCAGAATGTACATATTGATACCATAGACTGTATATGTATTGATACTCATATTGACTAAACAAATTTACTGAACAACTAAGGGTTAGTTTGGTTAAATGCTTATTTGGCTATGTGAAAGTAATATAACACTTTATCATTTTATTTACTTGAATCTTGACAAATTAATTCCAATTAAACAAAGAGATGAGTATAAAGAAACGTTTCCAGGTTGGGTGAGTTAATGGAAGATACTGTATGTAAAAACCATAGACTGGTAAAAACATGTATTATCCATAGCATTGTAAGGACATAGGCCCCATTGTCAATGTAAATACAGTATGGTCTTTAAAAATAAACATTTTCATTTAGTAAAGCTAAAAGTGGTGTACATAATGTTGCAGCTTTTGGCTTTAAGCTACACTATTTTCTTTACAGGGCCACTGCCAGTCCTCCAGTGAAAGTGGAACCTACCTCTACTTGTCAGAAGTCACCGTTGTATTGTGGCCATATGGAATAAATGTCAGACTCAAGAGTAGGCCTAGAGCTTTTGACCCTTAACCCCATAATCCACTTCAATACTGCAAACGTTTTGTTGAAATACTATGGTCTTATTCGACACCAATAACCCACTACTGGTTTTTTAAAGATTTTAAAGAGAGAGCTGTGAGAAAACCTTCGAAGACACGACCGAAATTGTTAAAATTCCCCTCAGAGGTTTACAAAGCAATAAGCCAATACTAACCAATCAGGTGTATTGGTCATTTGACTGGCAGTTTTTTCACCCTATCAAGGACGAGACTATTTCAAGAGGGCAGGCCCTAAAGTTAAGGTGTTGTTATAGACAAGACACATGAGCATTTCGCCCCTGCCAGTGTGCGTGTCTTGTTGCGAGGAGCTGTGTGGATTGCATGGAGCTCAGCATGGACTACAGATACAACTTTTAGATTCAGTCGGACAATTTACTTTTTATCCTGAGGACATCTGCTCACTAAGTTACCAAGTAAGTGTTGTTTCTTTTGTTTTAGTCAGTGCTGTCATGGCGCAGGTTTAGTAACAATAATTAACCTGACATGAGTTCACGTACTGTATACTCGCACATGTAGGCTACCATGTGATGCATGTGTAAAACTTCTCTAATGTAACCCCTTAATATTTTAATTTCTAACGAAAGTGTCTGATCAACAGAATGTTGCTACTTACAATTGCCGTTTTGTTTAGTTGCATGTGCATGTGCAACAGCGTTTCTATTATCCTATGTATTTCTTCTTTCACAATGTTGACACGGATTCACTCGTGTTTCTATCGCTGTCAAAACTCCCTAAGGTGTCATGTTTTAGGTGCAAACTATTCAGAGGATGTTGTCCTCTCTGACAGGGAGCTCACAGTGTCAGGCCCACAGCTGTGTCTTCACTTACCACTCAATATTAGAAATGACCTCGATTATTTTTGCTACAGTGTATGCTTGAAATTAGCTACATGATAATTTACTAACAACTTTTTTCTTTTAATTCCAGAAGATATGGAGAATGATGTCCTATCCACTGCTGTCAACACCCAGGCGTCATGCCCTATCCTGGATGGATCCTCTCTTCCCTCCCCCATAAATTCTCCTCCTGTAGTCTCCAATAACATCTCTGCTACTGCCTCTGACCTTGCAAAATCTTCATCCTCAAAAGAGACCACCTCAGAACCCAGAAAATTAACTAGCTCCTCTCCAACATCCATTCCCACCATTTCTTCCCTTCCTTCTTTAGAGGGTTCAAAGCCATTAAGTCCCACAGTGCTCTCTGAACCTGCACCTAAACCCTCCTCTCCTCCTCCAAACAAAACTACAAACTGCTCTGCTCCTGAAATCCCAAAAATGTCATCCCTTTCCAAACTCAAATCTGCCTCCTTCACATCTGCCACCATGGCTCTTAACACTCAAACAGATTCCTCTGAGTCTTCCTCCCCTCCTGCTTCCACTGTGGATCCTGCAACTTCTTCCAGCACTACTGTTAAACGCACCTTTGCCTCCATGGCCAAGCGGGTAATAATACAGGAAAGACTAAGGAAATCCGAGGAGGATGAAAAGGATATAGAAGATGGTAAGAATGCCTTTGCTTTGAGTCTTTGATTAAATGAGACTCCTAAAAAGTTATCAAAGCAGAGTTAACCCGTCTTGGATAAACATCTCTTTATCTTTACTTAGACACCTTAATCATGTTTTGTAAAGCAACTTCTATGCATAAAATGTGTCATACATAAACAGACATTAATACAGCAATTGAATTAAATTAAATAATGGTGTTTATACTATCCAATGGCTCCATTTCATTCGACATCTACACTGTGTTGACTACTGGTTTTACTCAGTGACTGAAGTTCTAGAGAGAGTAAGGGCCTCCACATATACATTACCTTCTCCTTTTTACTGTTTGACTGGCAGGTTAAAAGTAGTCAACATATGTACGAATACTTTGGCAGCGTCTTCCCTTTTGCCGTGCATGAACACATGCCTTGGTGAACTTCTTTAGTAATGCTGAAGGTTGGTTAATCTCCTATGAGGTCCAAATTGAAATATCTCAGCCACTATAAGATACATTGGCATGAATGTCTGTGCTTATATTCTAAAGGATGAATCCTAGAAGAGTTAGTGGTTCCATGGTCCCTTTTTCTAGCACCAACAGCAGGTTGGCATTTTTGGCTTTTCATGATATCAACTGGAGTGTCATGACTTTTTGTACATACATCCATAGTGCCCAGACCATGAATTATAATGACTGGTGATCCCTGACCTTTTATTTGGCGCTTCTATGAGGTTTATATACTGTAAATATGGTTCTGAGAATATTTCATGAAAGTTTTGTAATCCTTTTATTGACCCAATTTCCCCGTACCGTATCACGTGAAAGCATGATAAGATCCATATGTTAGCATTGTCTTTGTGTATTATGTTAGCTTGCTGACATTAGCATTTAGTTAAAAGCAGTGCTGTACCTATGTAAAGATTCACATGCTAGTAATGGCTAGCCTTTCTGTCTTGTTGAAGACATCGGGTACATACTCGCCTTTTGTGAGGAATTTTAAGGAACCAATTTAGATTTTACAATTAATGATACCTATAGGTTTATTTGTAACTGATTT